GCCAAGAAGCACGTATTTCATGAACATACAAAACATATAGATATAGACCGTCACATTGTTCGTGAAAAACTCAGCCAAGGCCTCATCAAGTTATTGTCTATTTCATCCTCTACGCAGATTGTAGATGGTCTGACCAAGGCCTTACCCTCTCCGGCGTTTCATATATTCAAGTCTAAACTGGGCATTGAGGACCTCCATGCTCCAGTTTATGGGGGGGGGGGGGTATTAGATGATAGTTCATAAATTCATGCAGTGTAGAATAGGGACTTTTATGTCTTTTCCATATCCTGGGCAGTTATAACTACCTTCACTGTATATATGTTAATGCTGCTTGTAATCTCAGTGTAACAGAACAGAAAAACACACCATCCTTTCTTTCCTTTTCCCTCTCGATTTCTCATGTAAAGCCTCCGTCAATCATCATCGTACACATTAATGGCCTCGCCTATAACCTCACTCCGTCCCTTTCACATCCACCTCTTCATCATCATCGTATTCAAAAATAAAGTGAGCAATAATTAATGCCCGCAATGGTAGCTCAACAATTCAAAGAGGTAAATTTGTTATAAAAGATCAAGGATAGAGTTTCACCAGTAGCAGTGTGAAAATAATCTCTCAAAATGAGGAGGGCACCTTGTGCGCATTGGCAAAAGTCAAGACTCTGTTGGTCAATTGACTCACCATGATTTACCTCACAAAAAACTATTGGGCCAGGTGTAGAGGACCTTGTAGTGGGTGATTCTTCCTTTTCTCAAAAGAAAAGTGTGTAAACAACCAAGCATTTTGGCCATGGCCCTGCTATCTGCTGAGCCATTATTGGCGAAGAAATTCCAACAGTCCAACCTAAGTGCGACGACCCTTTTCTTATTGATATTCTGGTCCACTCTTTTCTTATTTAAAGATACTACTTGGACTCAGAAAAAAAACTCTCAACTTTTACCCCACTTATCAAATTCTATTTGAGGAAAAAAAATTGATAAAATTCATGACCCTTATTTTATTAAGCAATCAAAGCATGCATGCCATATCATATGGAGTATAAAAAAAATGGAGTATAAAAAGAAATTACATGTAAAATTACTCTGTTTTATATTACATTATTGGCAAAGAACTCCCACCTAAATGTGGACCATTTTCTTATTAATATCCAGGTGCATGTTTTTTCTTATTTTACATTATTGGTGAAGAATTGAACTCCGACCTATGTGCGGACCCTTTTCTTATTAATATTCTGGTCCACCCTTTTCTTATTCAAAAATACTATTTAGACTCCAAAAAAAAAAAAATAAAAAAAAAATAACTCCTAACTTTTACTCTCACTTATATTCAAATTCTATTGGAGGAAAAAAATGAATGGATAAAAAACATCACTCCAATTATATTAAGCAATCAATACATGCCACATCATGGGAAGTATAATATTGGAGTATAAAAAAAAAAAAATTACATGCATAATTACTCATTTTTATTTTACATTATTGGAAAAAAATTCCTACCTAAGTGTGGACCCTTTTCTATTAATTCAATAAAAAAAAATCTCTCTCTATGAGTGAAGACTCTCCCGTCGGCAGCTCTCCGAGCAATTCTCGCCCTTCCTCGGAGGACGAAGACCTTAAGGAGAGAAGTGTAAAAAAGTCCAAAAGAGACGACCATAACATGCCTCTAGACACGAACAACCCTCAACTACACTCTCCCTCTATGGTAGACAACCTCAGCTCCTAGTTGCAATCGAAAATGGCAGTCGACGACCTCATCCAACAACTGATTGGATTGTTGGTTTTCAGCGACTCGGCTAATGTGCTCAACTAGATTAACGATCCTCCTTTTTACTCTAAAGGTGGGGGAACCCTCAACAACATTATTTTTTAGTGCAAAGCTTGGATCAAGAAGGGTTGGAATGCCAAGTGCTGCCATATTTTGCGGGAACAAAATCAAGTGGTGGATTGACTGGCGAAGAATTATGGTCTTAACCCCGATTTAGCCCTGTTTTATTTTTTCCCGAATGCTGGCCTTGCGACATGCGTTGATAGGGATAGACGGCAATTTATATCCTACACCACGGTGCGCGTTGCACTATGCGCCCAGATGCAAATCGACGTCGTTTTAATTATTTTTTTTTTGAAATTTTCCGCCCCAGTGAATGGCAGTAGTTTTTTCTTTAAAAAAAAACTCGCTGTTCAAGAATGTACATAATGTTATACTAGAATACACATAATGTTATACATGAATGTACATAATTATATAACAAAATATACATACTCTTTTTAAAAGATAATACACATAATCTAACATAATACATAATAAACATAAACTTTTAACATAATACACATCAACTCTTAACATAATACACACAAATTTTCTGATTCGGATGTACATAATTGTATAAAAAGAATGTACATAATTGTATACAAAATACACATAACTGTATGAACCAATACACATAACGTTGTGAACAAATACACATAACGTTGTTAACAAATACACATAATCTCAGCAACTTCCTACCGCGCATCCCAACACTATCCCAAAACGACGTCGTTTTGGGAGGCGCGCGGCGCACAGTGCTATGTGCGCCGTGGTGTATGATATAACGATTGGGATAGACAAATAGGTAGTTGGGAGAAGACAAATAGGTAGTTTAATATTGGTCCACCCTTTTTCGTATTTGGTCCACCCTTTAAAAAAAAAAGTGTGGACCCTTTTCTTATTTATATTTTGGTCCACCCTTTTCGTATTTGTTGTTTACCACGTACGGTTGAAATAGACAAATAGGCAGTTTAATTAAAATTATTGTTGTTTACCACGGTTGAAACGGAAGGACTATTATATCTTTTACATTGTTGTTTTTCTCAATCCATGGATGAAAATGTTAGGCCTTGTGCAGTTGTTAATAAATCCTTTTTTTTTCGAATTAGCAGTAAATTATGTTAACTGCCAAATTAATTTTCAAAAAAAAAAAAATGTTAACTGCCAAATTAAACTATATCATGGACTAGAATCATAGGCGGACCCACCACTTTTCATAGCCTTAACTTCCTCAGATTGACTAGGTAACTTATCTGACAGCCTATGACCAAAGACTATTATACTACTAAGACTATTATTATTATTATTAAATTAGGACCAAAGAATTAATTATTAAACTGATAGAATTCAAATAATTAAACAAATTTAATAATTAAAATAACTTAAAGTTGAATAATATTAACAAAGCTACTAATAACAATAATAAATAAAAATAAATATAAAATTAATTAATTATTACAAATTAACTATAAAAGATTATCTAAAATAACAATAAAAATAATGTTATCAATTGTGAAACAGATATGGGAATGACTAGTGGTTTACAACGTCATACTAGCACGCTTTAGTATATCAATCATATAGCGACACTGGAAAAGCAACAACACATCAGACTCTCGTATACTTTTAATGCCAAGAAAAAACACAGGTGCTCCAAGGTATAGAATCTTATAAGCTACACACAACTTAGACAACAAGACATTCACCAAATTCTGGTCGAGTTAATACTCAAAATCGTCCTCGACTATAGTGGTTTTTCTCAATTTCGTCCTAAACGACTTTGGTGACCTAATATCGTCCCAGACTTTTGTGTTTCGCTCAATTTAGTCCCAGACTTGTGTGTTTTTGCTCAATTTAGTCCCTCATTTGTTATTCTGTCCATTTGGTGTTAAATAAATAGACAATTCAGTAATTTTAATATTGGCATCTCTTTACTCATAAACATGTGAACTGCGAAATCCTTTTTTTTTTAACGAATTACTCCCATAATTACTCCTAAAACTGCGAATATAAAATTTGATTTGCAGGTCCGGGAGTAATTCTGGGTGTAATTCGTACAAGAGAGAGGAATTTCGCACTTCACAAGTTGAAAGTAAAGAGAGATCAATATTGACATTACTGAATTGTCCCTTTATTTAACACCAATTTGACGGAATAACAAATGGAGGACTAAATTGAGCGAAACACAAAAGTCTGGGACGATATTAGGTCACCAAAGTCGTTTAGGACAAAATTGAGAAAAACCACTGTAGTCGAGGACGATTTTGGGTATTAACTCAATTCTGGTCACTATCCATAACAAAAAAAATTTATATATATATATATATACACCAACAAGTAAACAAAAGCATAATCCGGTGAGTAGTAAAACAAAGAAACATACATCTTTGAGGCTCGAAAACCAACCAACAATAGAAAAGTATGTAAACGATGAAACCAAGCTCAGCTCTGGGAGCCTGCTTAACGCTATATAAAGAACGCTTCAACAATCAAACATGATTTAGAAATTGCTTATCAGTATATCCTAGTGGTTGACGCAAATAAACAGTTTCAGCCAAGTTAGCATTTAAAAAACCATTATGGACATCCAGCTGATGAATAACCCAACTAGACGATAAAGCTAAGGAAAGGAGTAACTTGACAGTCGTGGGCATCACCATTCCGTTAAAAGCTAAGTATCGAAAAAATCTTGACCAGCAACTTGATTATTAAACCCCTTCGCTACTAATAAATGTGCCTTGTGACGCTCAATTGAACCATCAGCCTTTCTTTTTGTGCGAAAAATTCACTTGCAGTCAATGACATTCATGCCGGGTTGAAAAGGAACCAGACGCCATGTCTGATTCGGAATTGGCTAAAGATTGAGCAGCCATGGAAAAAATCTAGACAACTGATACCAGATGAGAACTGAATATTCTGAATTAATCAACAGAGTAGTCACATAATACAACAAATAAATACAATAGAAGAGTTACAATATGACAAGGACACATAGAGTCCTAATATCGATCACTAGTTACTGATCAAATGATTTGAATTTTTCATTTTGGGACAATAAATTTCATGATGGCTTGACAAATTTGTACCATTACAGAAATTTGCCTAGATGATGGATCATATCAAAGTTCAACAAAAAAAAAAAAAAAAAAAAGAAGCTATAAAATTTTGTTTTGAAACTAAGCTAGGAACTGGAATTAATTAAGAAGCACTTCATGCACATAAGTCTTGAGATTCAAATGGGAAGATCCACATTCTTTCATGCTACTTCTTGCTAAATCTCTCCATTTCTTATTCTTTCTCAGCTCAACTCCTCCCTCTCCCATTACACATTCTATGCATATCTTGAACTCATGAGCTTCAACAATGTCATCCTCATTTGCTTTCACTCTCGCCCCCGTTTTCCAAATATCTTGAACCAGCTTAGCGTTGCAACATTGGTCACTCCACAGCGGGCATGCCACAACAGGCATCCCAAACACCAAACTTTCTATCGTTGAGTTCCATCCGCAATGAATCAAGAAACACCCAATAGACGAGTGTTGCAGAACCTCAACTTGTGTACACCAACGCACAATCTTCCCTTGCTTCTCCAATTCCTCCTTGCGCCTCAACTTTCCTTCTGGCTTTTCGCCGTTGGCTGTCTCTCTAAGAACCCACAAAAATGGCATCCTACTTTCCACAAGTGCTCCGTTATGAACCGAATAATTATTTCTGTTGTACTCCCTTGCGTAAAGGTTACACATAAGCCGAGGCAGTGTGCTTCACTAGTGTTGTTTTGTATGATGCTACTGCCTTCCACTGCTAATCTCTGTTGTTGCTACTTGCTACACCATTATGTCGCCAAAAAATTATTATAATCTGCTCCATGATTCGAGTAGTTGACTGTTTAAAAGTGTCTGCTACAGTTAGGGTCTGCTCATGACACCTCGTGATTTGACAAAAAAATAAATAAATTATAGTGTGTACCAAGATGACTATTCTGATCTATTATGTCGTGATATTTATTAATGTTATTTTAAACTTTACATATGTTTTTAAATTTTATTACTGATGTAAAAAAAAAAAAAAAAAATATATATATATACCTAAAATCTTTCAAATACACATGTGAACTACTTTTAATGAAATTTATCAACAAAATTCACAAATCATCATGTTGGTGGACGCCAGTAAATTATAAAAGGGTCAAGTCAGCAGTTAGTGAATAGGAGATTGTTAGGAGAAAGGTCAAGTTTAACAACATGCTTCTTGAAAATATAGTGACCGTATATAAAGAAATAAAGTAGCGTATTCGTTGTAAATTATACATTTTGGTGTAGAGGTAAGTACAATTAAATTTTTAAAATAATTATGATACTGTGACGAAAAAAAAAAAAAAAGAACTGGAATTAATTAAAAATATGAACTGGAATTCTGAAACCGACATGTACATAGAACAAAAACAGTTCAAAAAATACTTGATGTTGGGACAGTTCAAAAAAATACCAGATCTGTAATAGATCAAAACCTGTTGATATATATATATATATATATATATATATATATATATATATATAGAACTTAGTGAAACAACTTATCTAGATCGAGCGATATCAATGCTTCCAAGTTATCTGTGTGAATCTTTCAAAGCTGTGGAATCGAGATATACATACACATATCCACATTAGCAGTTTTATTATTTATAGTAAACTTAAATTTTTTTTTTGAAATAAAAGAGCTTATTCATTAATCATACGATGAAAAGTTTACAAAAAGATTGATGGAATAATAAAACATTCTTACAATCAGACATTGAAACAAATTTTCAATGCTACACGAAACTTGAATCGCTGACTGTTTTTCAAGATTGAAGCTGAATTCATTTGGAGAACCTGAAGCTTCATTGATATTGTTAATGATCTTGCTACCCAAGTCTGACTCTATTGCGGCTCTTCTGTCCATTGTCCATAGACAATATCTCCATTAATCTGAATTGCATATCAAGGTTCAGATCTTCTTCGGTGCTCGGGATGAAGCAAACGTACTCCATTATCAGATAAATTGTTTCACCTTATGGAAAAAGAACTCGCCAAATAAACGAGCGGAAAACTCGCTAAAGAAACGAGAGGAAATAACTTTAACAAAACAACAGATGAAAATCAAATCTAAAACAACCAAAACAAATCCTAAACACCAAACCACTAACTAATATATATATATATATATATATATATATATATATATATATATATATATATATATATATATATATATATATATATATAGTGAAAGGTTCCCGTGCGGTGAATGCTTCCCGTGCGGATGTGCGGTAGATTAATATGCGTGAGATTTGTACTCAATGTGCGTGAGTGTAGTGCTTAATGTGCCTGAGATTTGTACTTAATGTGCGTGAATGTGTAAAATGCAGCAGAAAATATTGATGTCAGCTTCTTCCCCATCCCCAGTAGCCATTTGACCCTACCTGATGATGATGATACGGAGGCGAGCTATGGTGGTTAAAAATTATGGAAATAATACAACAGAAATCAACACTTAGCTGCTCTGCGAATTTTACTGTGCGTACGTCATTTATATAAACATTAAACTGCACTGAAGGTAGCTGATAATCCAGAATCCATGGCCAAATTGAAGGAAGAAGTAACAAGAAGCTTGGGCGTTAATGTGCGTGAGTTTCTGTTCTGCTTCCTTCTGAGCTCGTAATTCTGAAAACGCACGCACATTAAGCACAAATCTCACGCACATTAAACACAATACTCAGGCACATTAAGTACAAAACTCACGCTTATTAACATGACACACATTAAGTACAAATCTCAGGCACATTGAGTACAAATCTCACGCACATTAAGTATAAAGCTCACGCACGTTAATCCACCGCACATCCGCACGGGAAGCAACAAATGCACCTGATCCCTTCCCTATATATATATATATAGAAGCTTGGATTTGGAGTGGCGAGGGACGGTGGTGAAGGAGGAAGAAACGTTGGTGAAGGGCCGGAGGAGATGGTGCCGATGGAAGAGAGGCGGGAAGAGATGCGGGCATTGGAACAAAGGCCGAAAGAACAAAATGCACATAAATAATAATATTATCTCAAACTTAATAATATGCATCGGGTATCATACTAGTTAATTAAGAAGCACTTCATGCACATAAGCCTTGAGATTGAAATAGGAAGATCCACCTTCCTTCATGGTAGTTCTTGCTAAATCTCTCCATTTCTTAGCATTCTTTCTCAGCTCAACTCCTCCCTCTCCCATTACACATTCTAGGCATCTCTTGAGCTCACGAGATTCAACAATACCGTCCTCATTTGCTTTCACTCTCGCCCCCGTTTTCCAAACATCTTGAACCAGCTTAGCGTTGCAACTTTGGTCACCCCAAAGTGGGCATGCCACAACAGGCATCCCGAACACCAAACTTTCTATCGTCGAGTTCCATCCGCAATGAGTCAAGAAACACCCAATAGACGAGTGTTGCAGAACTTCGATTTGAGTACACCAACGCACTATCTTCCCTTGCTTCTCCAATTCCTCCTTGCACCTCAACTCTCCTTCTGGCTTTTCACCGTTGGATGTCTCTCTAAGAACCCACAAAAATGGCATCTTACTTTCCATAAGTGCTTGAGCAATCTGTTCCACCATTGTGGTTTTGAGATCAGCGTAGCTACCAAATGCTACGTAAATCACAGAACTCTTAGGCTGAGAGTCCAACCATTCAACATAGTCATCGGACTTTTCAAGCAAGTCACCTCCGAACGAGGTATCAGAAGGATCCTTCCCATCCAAATACGCAGATGGCACCAAAGGGCCAATCCCAATCAGTGTCATCTTCTTTATAGCCCTCAAAGCATCAACCTCCAAATCATCAAATGTGTTGACTAGAATTTTGGGGTTGTCTTCACTGTTAATCAGATCGATCTGATCTTTCATGGCCTGGATAGCCCAATCCCATAAAGTGTTATTTGTTGTTGCCTTGGAGAACATAAAAGAAGGGAAATCAGTGGTACCCAGTGCGGGCAACCCAGGAATCTGAACCACTCCATTCTCACCACAACTTTTGAACAAATCCTGGCAATCAGTGAAATAAGAGTAATAGACGTCTAAAACCGCGGCGGGTTGAATCCAAAGCAGCGTGGCCGGAACATGAAGACTCCGGGCAACTTCCCCAACCCATTGCATAAGTGTAGTGTAGATAATTCTGGTAAACGGAGCGCCGTCCGCCGCCTTGGCCTTGACAAGGGTAGCCACGTATTGGGACCCTCTGGTCTTGAAGGAATTATACTTGGCGCCGTAGCCATCTGGAGTGACTTTCTTGTCGCCGTCATCGTGACCATCGGAAATGGGGGCGAAATCTATGCCGGGTATCGCCGTGCAATTAGAGATAACGTGGAGACTGGTTGATAAGGTGACTTTCACTCCCAAGTTGACAAGGCGCTTAGCGAACTGTAAACTTGGATTGATTTGGCCTTGTGATCCCGGAAATAGCACCAGAAGAACATGACAGCGGTCTTCCATTTTGAATTGAATGAACCACAAATGGATAGTATATCTCTAATGTACGTTTGATAAAGATGAGTAATATAATGCAAGATTTTCATATCTTCAAATGCATGCAAATTGAATTTATATTTGACGCCACTCACATCCAACCAAGCAAATCAAAATTAAAGTGAAAAATAATTAATGCCGGCAATGGTAGCTCAACTGTCATAAATTCAAGGTTTGGAACAGTGCTTCTTCCTCAGTTTTGGCCTTTTTTGGAACAGTACTAAATTCAAGGTTTGGTTTTAGGAATTAGGATGATGTGGGGTGAGGTTTTTGTTCAATTTTAACTTCTGCAAATTACAAGATTATTGTGGAGTCCATATTTCGAGAAGAGAAACAAAGGAACGTGTCTGTCTCCGCCTGCTGGGAATGCTGTCGCCCAGCGTGGCGCGTGCTGTGCACACGCCCTATGGCGCGTTGATTCTTTCACTTTGTATTTTTATGTCTGCAAGCAAGTCAGGCTTTTTCTTTTTCTTTGTTTTTTTTATTTCCTTTTTTATACAATTCTTTTTTATAATTACACTTACAAAAACTTCTCAAAAACTAAAAAAAAAAATTAAAAAAAAAAAAAAAAAATATATATATATATATATATATATATATATATATATATATTTACTATTACGGATGCTCTAAAAAAACGAGTTAATTCCGGCAATAGTTCCCTGACTATTGTGAGTTTGTGACTTTCCAATTTTAGTCCTCGTCTTTTAATTTGGACGAAATAAACCATTAACTAACAAAATTGTTTTACCATTGGTCCTTCCGTTAACCAACAGTTAGATAGACGGTAAGTTATGGGGTAAAAGGATCATTTTATGTTGGTTTCTTCATAACTTAACTTTTTTGTTGATGAATCTGTCTGAATTTTTGCATTCAGTGCAAAGAGTTTGAAAAATTGTCTAATTATTGGCTCATAGGAGACTAGTAGTGTAGAGTGACTACACTGTTCCTTCAGTTATTTCAAATTGCTAATTGAATTAATAAATTCAATGCTTGAAGTTTTACAGGTTTGGTTTTTCTAATTCTGTATTATTTATTCATTTTTGTCTCATAAATAATCTCTAAATGCAATTCCCAGGTCTACCTTTGTTGTAGTCTGTTCTTCACTTGTTGAATCATTAGAAGCCTTATTAAATCTTTGTACATGGAACTGGTACTTGAGAAATACCACTGTTGTAAAAATCGGCCTAGGTGGCGCCCGCCTAGGCGCTAGGCGCCCCAAGGCTGTTCCAGCGAAATCGGTCAAAATTGGTTAAAATCGGCCTAGTTGGCCAACTCGGCCGAGTCGGTCGATTTTGTTCGATTTCGTCACCGATGTCGTCTGGTCCAGCTTTCCATAAACTAGTTTGATACTTTGAATTTTTGGATGATTGAAGTATTTGAGTATTTAATATTTGAGTATTTTTATTTTCTAATATTGTTTTGATGTTATGACTTATGAATTATCATTATTTCATTTATTTGGATGTTTTATTTGATTAAATGTTGAAAACAGCCTCATTAAAATTGTCAAACTGCAAGTATGCCACTATTTTTTTGGCGCTCGCCTAGCGCCGACTAGATTCCGCCTAGGCGCTAGGTGCTGCGCGGGCGCCCGACTAGCGCCTAGCGCCTACTGCAACCTTGGGAAATACTAATCTCCAAGTTTGGTTTTCTGAAAACTGAGGTTGGATTTTTCTTGCTCTCAACTACTAGTCAGCGCCATGGAAAGTACTCATTTACCCAGGTGGAACAATTCTGATAGTTATAGAGAAGAAGAGACCTAGCTATGGAAAGTACCATTTTACCCCTTAACTTAACGTCTGTCTAATTGTTGGTTAACGGAAGGACCAATGGTGGAACAATTCTGAAAGTCAAGGGTTTATTTCGTCCAAATTAAAAGACAACGACCAAATTTGAAAAATCACAATAGTCGGAGGACTATTGATGGAATTAACTCTCTAAAAAACAAGGATTGAGTTTCACCCGTTGCAATGTGGAAAAAATCTTTCAAAATGAATAGGCCAGGGCACCTTGTGCGCATTGGTAAAAGTGAAGATTCTGTTGGTCAGTTGAGTCACCATGATTTACCTCACAAATAACTATCAGGCTAGGTGTAGAGGAGCTTGTAGTGGGTGATTCCATCTTTTCTCAAAAGAAAAGTGTGCAAACAACCATGCATTTTGGCCCTGGCCCTATCTGCTAAACCATTATTAGCGAAGAAACTCCAACCTAAGTGCAGACCCTTTCTTATTAATATTGGTCCACTCTTTTCTTATTCAAAAATAATACTTAGACTCTAAAAAAAACTCTCAAACTTTTCATATTAGGAACCAGAACTGAACTGAAACTCAAGAGGTTCTGGTTTCGGTACCATAATATTAGGAACCAAAACGGACAAACTGTATAGAAAAAAAAAGGTTTAACTACTATTTGATTAAAGTTTAAATAACAATTATCTTATTAAAGGTTAAATAATAACAATTTAAAGTTTAGCTATAATATTTTTATTTTATTTTTTTAGTTTAACTTTAAATATTAAATATTTGATACAATCATTAAAAAAAATAGAATGAAAATTTTCAAAAAAAAAATAATTATTATTGAATTTGAAATATTTTTAAAATAGCAAAAAAAAAAAAAAAAATCTGTGGTTCGAATCGAAATTGACCATTCTAAAACTATCCTAAAAGGTTCTAATTCTCATTTGTCATTTTTCGAAATAAAAAATCACGGTTCAGAATCGGAATCTACCTATGGTCACCCCACTAAGGCTTGAATCCATGACTTCCATGGAAGGATCACTTGGTGCCACTAGACCACAAGTTCATTGGTAATACGGAGTAGTATTTTCCTTTATTTCTCACCAATCTCCTACAAATGGGATGCTGACATGCTGTTATAGTCGTCCAAACTCCACTGCACCCCCCTTACCACATGCACCTCATCCATCATCAATTCATCATCATTATTAGATGATAGTTCATAAATTTATGCAGTGTAGAATAGGGACTTTTATGTCCTTTCCTTATCTTTGGCAGTTATAACTACCTTGCTGTATATATGTTAATGCTGCTTGTAATCTCAGTTTAACATAATAGAATAACACACCATCCTTTCTTTCCTTTTCCCTCTCGATTTCTCATGTGAAGCCTTCGTCATGGTATCAGAGCGATGTCGCAATTACGCTACCGCTGTCTCCGGCGATTCCAGTCACGTTGCTACGCCGGTTAATCAGTCTCATGTCACAACTCCTGAGAACATTCTGCAGGGGAACACAACATCTCAGAATCAAAGGAACTTCAACACCGGGGATGAGGCAAGCGGAGAAGGGAATGCGATGGGAGCCAATCAAGGAGTTAGGCCTCAAGGACCCACTTACGAGGACTTATATGCCATGATCAACAACCGTTTTGACAATCTGAATGCCCAAGTGAACTATGGATTTGCCAACTTTGATCATAGGGCAGCTGTGATGGAACAAAGAATGGGAATTGAGAATGTGCAAAGATGGACTCCCTATGGATGGGATCGGAACTACATGCCGCCAGGTGGTTCATCGGGAGGCTTTGATCAAGGTAACTAGTTAAGCTTTTGAGTTCGGTTAATAGATTCGTTTTGTGTAGTTGTTTAGACTTTAGCTAAGTTAGACGAGAACTCAGAGATTCCTAAACCTTCCAAAGTATTCCAACAGAAAATTCTTGTCAACCTCTTGGTTATATCTTTCTTTAGTCTTTGAGAACTTGATCCACTCGTTTCTTCTAAGTTTCGGGACGAAACTTCTTTTAAGGGGGATAGAGTGTAACAACCCAAAATTTTATTTTATAAATCCAATTTTAAGAAATTCCAAAATAGCCATTTTCACTCCATTAAAATTTTTTGAATCAATTGGTGTTTGAATAAATTATTTTGGACTCATTTTAAATTAATACAACACTAAAACTTATTTTATTCCAAAATCCTAAATTTTCGGGTACTTCGCGTACCAAGTTTTAAATCGAGAAATCAATCTGAGTGAAATCGGGAGAATTCAAAGAAGCTTTAAACAAGTGTTCATCTAGAAAACTTTTTGAGAAAATTCATTTTCAAGTCCAAAGTATTGAAAATAGCATTTCTAGTCTATGGTCCATGTTGCAAGGTGGACCAAAAAGGCATTTCTCTTTGTCTGATCTTTGCTAGAACTACCACCAATTTACCACTTTGCCCTCCACCAATCATTGAGTATCCTTCCAGGGTTTTGAACCCATATAAAAACAATAGAAAGCCAACCTTAGCTTTCCTCATGATTCCATTCTTTGTCTTCCCACCCAAGAGCTCAGCAAGAAAGAAAGAAGAAACATAGTAAGTTCTTAGGTTCATTTCCATCCTTTGCTCATTTAGTTTCCCCTATTTAGCTTCAATATCTGAGGTTCTCCTCTTAAGTGTTGTTGTTTGGCTTGGTTGAGACTTTTAGGTGGTGAAGGGGGTAGTGGTTGAGTTGGGAAGAAGAAGGAATCCAAACAAGAAGAAGAGGCAACAAGAGGTATAACCCCATGGACTCCCTCTTTGATTTTGGCTCTGTGAAGCCTATTTTATTGAGTAGAAATGATGTGATTTTGTTGTGTTTAAGCTTGGAAGTGATCTAGTATTTGTCTTTAAGTGTTGAGAATGTTTTGGGTGTTTTGGACATGCTTGGAATAATTTTTGCAGGTGAAAATATCCATTTGGTACACAGTGTTCTGGTGCACACACAGTGTGCACCAGATCAAAGCAACTGCCCTAGCCGCGGCCCATCGGAGGGCCACCGGCTAGAGCCGGGGCCAACCGGGCCTAGGGCACGGCCCTAGGAGAGGGCCGTTGCCTAGGCCCGGCCTTGTAACGGTCTTCATGGGGCGGCTCTTGAGGAGTCCCGCCCCAGGTCCCTGAATTTCATTCTGAGAGCATTTTGTGCAGTGGCCGGGCCCTTATGGCTCAGCTACGTGTCGTTTTGGGCCAGGTGTCACGGGCCCTTGTGGCTCGGTACCTCGGGACCTTCTCGATGCACGTTTTTGTCTTTGATTTCGTTGAATTTGGATAAAAATTGAGCATGTTATGATGGAATTATTGAA